GAGTCCCGGGTAAGATCAGTTGCAGTTTATATGCTGGCCAGTCCACTTGACTGTTGTTGTAGATTTTCACAGGGCTGGGCAAGGCTAAGAGTTTAGGGGTTTCGGGTTTGGGGATTCAGGGTTTCTATTATATAACTATGACAGCACGCTTCAGTGAAAAGCTACTTGAGCCAAAATGGCTTGAGCCAAAATGGCTTGAGCCAAAATGGGTTTAGGGTTTTGGGTTTACGGCGAAAATCTCAGTGTCCGTCCCAAAAACGTAGCAGTACCAGGAGCGACGAGGAAAACACAGGAATGTCAGCAACCACTATGACACTATGATCAGCAGCAAACACCGGCAAGGGGTGTGCGAGTTCAGAACTTCAAGAAGGTAGCAACGTGAGTTGGCAGAAGAGAACGGCAACGCGCAGTGGTAACCCACACGCACGTTCGGTCTTTGCAGCTCGGGACTGCGCGTATCTGCACTCAAGCTGTCCAGCGACATGTTCGAAGGAACCCCGACCAACCCAAGTTGCCCTGTCAAGATTCCGTGCAGGTCCTCACCTGTCAACACAGCGTCCTGCCATTCCCAGTCTTTTCTGCCCATAAGCCCTACTAAACCCTCACCGGCCCCAACCCTGAAAGCAAACCCGGCCCCAAACTCTGCAAAGAAGAGAGAGAGAGAAGGGGAGAGGGGAGCCTCCTTAAAAGAAGCGCCCAAGGCTCTGTCTCACGGAAACGCGGCCCGTCCCCAAGCTCTCGGAGAGCTGCTGCACCTCTCGGGAGGTCTTTTTTCCTTCCCGGGACTCGGACTCCTTTTTCGTCTTCGTTCCCTTGGCAGGGTACTTCCTGTCAGGATCTGGGAGGAAGTACTACTCTGTTTCTTCTTGACTTGTTCTTTCTGCGCCCGGTTCGTGTAGACTTTGGCGATACGAGTGCTCTCAGTTCTCACTGCTGGAGAATGACTTCGACCCGCTCTCTCTAAAGGCCAAAACCCTGAAGCCCTACTTGGACAGAAGTGCTAAATGCCCGTCGCGAAAAAATGGAAGCAACTTGCTTGTGATGACTCTCCCGGCCGTTTTAACTGCCACTGCATACGCATACATATCTACGCCTGCAGAGCTCCCGATCAGGGCCCCAACCAAAGACAGGCCCTGCTACGCCCTGAAGAGGCAGCTGCCGAAGGCACCATGAGACCAAGCCGGCCGACGTTTTTGCTCAGCTGCGCCAGATCAATACCCTTCGCCTCAGGCAGCAGCAAAAGAAACTTGGACAGGCCATGTAGGAGTCCGTGAAGATACTGCAGTCTTAGTCTTCCATATCCTGGTTCATGCTATCTGAAAATCCTTTTGGACCCCAGGAAGGCATGCAACAAGAGAAGAGGAAGCAGTGGCCGCCGGTGGTAAGAGCAGCGGCTGTCAGAGCGGTGGCCGTATCGTTGCTGCCGGTGCAGCAGCACTTCGTTCTGATTGCCCGCTGTAACTTTAATGCTGCATCTGGTTCCCATTCACCTACCTGACACCCCTCCGGAACTCACATCGTCAATTCCGTCTTTTTTCTCAAGCAGTCAGCCATGCTCAACTTCGGCCTTCGGTCTCTCGCAAGTTTCTGCTGACAGCATCAGCTGGTATGTAATATGATATGATTAAAATGTGGTCCAATACCATTTTCAGATAGCATGGTGCAATACGATGTAGTAAAGTACACTTACATACCGTGTAACACAACATAATCAAGCTCAATATAACACAGTATAATATACCAAATAATACCATATAACAACCTGAAAACACCTTCTCAGTCTATAAGCTATCGCAAACATTCTGCGGCCTGATGGCGAATCAATCGTTCAACCCAGCGAACTTCTTTTGGCCCTCTTTCATTCTTATTCACGTGCCCCTGTTGCGCATCGTCCGCTCGTGCTAGAGGGCATTACTCCGTCGTGTTGCCAGAGACGTCACCACCACTGCTATGACAAGCATCACTGCCACGACCACGACCCCAAAGACCACCCCAACCACCCACGAACAACGACGACGACGACAATGAGCCAACAGCAACGGTCAGGTAAGACGGGCCGACCACTACCATGACATCGGCTGCCATCGTGGTCACTTCCACCAAAGAACCGACATTCAACATCGAATGATGCAACAACTTCTTTAGACTCTAGACCCTGTAGCCTACAGTTTCCTGGCACTGCCCGCATCCAGCCCATCCAGCCCATCATCCAATCTGAAACCGAAGATTGCGGCAGCCGGAAACCAAGTAAGCGCCAGATCCAGCACAGAAACCCCTCGTGAGCTGATTGCTGGGTTTCGCACAGGGCCCTTCATTGCCAGCACGCCTTGTGCAAACCTTTCGGAGTCAGTCGTGGGGAGTTCCTAACCAGAACACCAGCTCATATGACACCCCACTGAATGCACTCAAAACTGATGCACTGCGACATCGAAATACCGAGGATACCCAGCTAAAGGAATCTTCTCTGATTGGTAGAAACCAGATCCGCAGCCATCTCACCCCTTGCATATCAAAAAACTTGGTCCACTCATTCCGATTGGGCGCCGGGACATGCCAAAAAGGTGCCCCCTCTTAACTTCAGTCGCGCTGCTTCTGCGCGTCCACCCGGCCATCTCCGTCATCCAACAAATCGTAAAATACCCTGCGAGGGCTTAGGCTTCGGGCTCCGTGTCCCGGACTTGGGCTCCGAAGTCTCACACCAAATGGGTAGTTGTCAAAATGATGGTCCCTTTTGGGGTACCCTAAATAATAGGTGCCGTATTATATTAAGGACCCAAAAAGGGACCATAATTTTGACAACCATCCAAATGAGAGAAGCAAGCCCACGAGCTCAATGTCCCCGCACTGACTGTTGAGAAGCCCGGTGAAGGATCAGAAGGAGTCGAAGCTTTGCGACTTTGCATCGTATGCGACAGCTGGGGGATTTTGGCAGTCATGCTCCATCTCTAGCAACCATTCTATTTCTCAAGCACATGTGCAAACAGCCCATGCCATGCTTTCCACTTTCTCCGGCCATCAGAACTCACACAGCCTCTCATATCAAAACAGGAATCGTAGATGACCTCTTACGGTAACGCTTCATCCCGAGCCCTCCCGAAAGTCGGCCTCAGGTCCTGGGCGTCGATCCTTGGGTCCAGTGCAAAGCCGTTCTTTGCGGCAAGCAACAGGTGCCCTGTATTCTGTAGGTGATCTTTCAGAAGGGACCCGACTGCTAATTCTGTAGGCATGGGTGTGTGTGCGTGTGCGCATTCCTTCTTTCATCCATCTGACAGCTGTTTTGCGCACTTGTTCGTTCAATAGGCTTACTTGCGAGCACCTCTGTCCCAACTCTCCTGGATTTCCACAGCCTGCCGCCCTTTTGGGTGTGACCCGGCCGAGAGATTGGAATTACTGGCTTCAAGTGCTCTGCCCGGCGCCAGGTGTAAGCTAGGTCCATAAAACTGACATCCAGAAAGCTTGCCCTCGCAAGGTGAAGGGATCGCTGGCAGACTCACAAATGCTGAATACCCATCAGCCATTGCCGATCCTCATAGCCCCAGTCCCCAAGCGACAGGAGACAGTCCGAGGATCTCGATCATAGAAAGGAGTGCGCCAGTGCGAGGATCCTTGAGCTGGTCATCGAACTCCTCCCAAGTCCTGGGCCACTTTGCAGGGCTCCGGCATTGAACAAAGTTGGGATCTGCCCTCGAGACCCTGGACAGAGCAAGCGGCACGATGCCATCTCCAGAAGTGTCGAGCTCCTCGCCGCTGAGGCTTCGTCGTAGCACGAAGAACTTAATTTCGGACCTTCGAACCCGCGGCCAGGCTCCCAACCCTCTTCGCGCAAGCCGGCTTAAACCGGAGGGTTCTCAGTAAGCCGCTACCAGCCTTGTGGGCCTTGGCTGTCCTGAGGCTTTTCAACGAACCGCCTGACAACCCAGACGCTGCAAAACGAGCAAGAAACAAACCTGGCCGCAACTGAACCTCGTGTGAAACGGACTCCTCGAAGATGTAGCGCAGCTTTCGCTCGAAGGTCTTGGCGGCATACTGTTTCTGCTTGAGCTGCAGTTCCTTGTCATCCTTGCACATGGCCAGAAGAGTGTACAGAGGTGTGATAAACGAAGGCTTTGCACAAAGACAGCTACTGTGAACTTGCGAACGCCTCAAGTTGAGGTTGTTCCGAAACTCTGATCCCTTTGCTGCCCTGCGAGATCCCCAAGAAGAACTGCACCTGCCTGGGCCACCTGCATGGTGCGCTGGATGAACACGGCCTGGCAGGGTCTTGTTTGTGTCGCACATCCATGGCCGCTATAAGGGCATACGAGGTATCCAAGTCAGTAAGGGCAATAGCACGAACAGGTCGCTGGCATGTTCTGGAATGGGCCGGAAGGGGTCATCAACCCTTGACTAGACGAGGCTACATCATAGACCATTCTCTTACCGCGGACCTGAACGACCTGACCTTGATGCAGAAACTGGCAAGGAGTGCAGCATAGTGCCAGTTCTACATCCTGAGCTAAGTAGACACAACGGTCAGAAAGAGGTGAGTTCGTCTCAATGTCTGCCTGAGACCCAGATCTCCGCAGTTGGATGTAGCATGTGCAGCTTTAGGCATCCGGTTTCGGGTGATGGTGAAGCGATCGGCATTGAGACGCACCTGAATGACGTTCAAGACGGCAAAGCCAACCAAACACCGGTACCTGGTTTTGTACAGCTTTTGAAGTGCGCACTCTTTGCCCTGAATGCTTATAGAAGAAGACTGAGATGTTGAGGGGCTGGTCTCCTTGGCATAGGCGATCTCAACTTATGTGCTCACAGTTATTTTGCCAATGACAAATATTGGCTTGTACGACAGGCTGTCTGTATGCCTGTCGGTCTGTCGATATACATATTCACAATACACACATAGCTACATGGCACATCTAGTCACAAACAGAGAGGTGCATGTGTCTGTTGTATAGAGCATGCATGCATGGATCGATGAATGCATTGGAGGCTTGGATGCATGGATAGACGGGTGGATGGATGGATGGATGGCGGACGGACGGAAGGATGGATGTGCATGCATGTAGTTGTGTAGGCAGGTGTGTATGTGTGAATGCATGTGTGCGTGTATGTATGGGTTGACTACACCTCCGTCCAGTATCTATGACATGTTCTGGCCATCGTGCTTCCACATAACATCCAAATCATCGTATTGCCTAGTCAGCGTAGACAATCAATTGAAACTTAGCGGCCCTATCCTGCCATGTTGGCCAAAGATTGAGAGGTAAACTTTCTGTCGTTGCGCACGGGAAACATCTGAGCCAATCTCGAAATCCAAGTTGTCCATGCGGGTGCTACATTACGGAAGAATCTGTTGGGCTGTCTCACCACAGGTGTTGCAGTACCAAATACCTATTTCCAACACTACCTTTTCCGTTCTGAAGTCTGGTCAACACTGATCTCACATCCGCCAGGTCGCAAGATAAAGACAGCGGAGAAATACTCGCTCCTGGTCTCGTTTGAGCTACTGGTAGCGAGACAGTCGTCAGCCGGGCTGGGCTGACAGTACCGGGGGCAATCAGTGTGAGTACGATTCCCGCTCCGGTACCAAACTCTGCCGAGAGACCCAGATAAGTCCCAATCCGGTCAGAACAGCATCGCTTCTTCGACAGCTGGGCCCAACTACGTGTCCACAACCAAAGCCAAGCCGCAAATGCTCCACCAGTATGCGACAAGGCGTTATCCAGTTAGCGAAGAGGACCTGGGACTGGGAAGCATGTGCGACTGTTGGCATGGACATGCATGGACTCCTCTAGGATGAGAGGGCGCCTGGGTGATTCCTATGCCGAAACGACTGCACGGCCACAAAGCGGGGTACCACCTGGTAGCAAACAGCTTCGCCCTTCCAACTTCCAACCGTCGAATCGCCCTAAACATGGACTTTTTTCCGTCACCAAGGCATACACTGTTCCCACTCCCCAGTAACAAGTTCGGTCCGAATATTCCGGCCTCGAACATGGTCAGCATGGAGCGCGAGAAGGTGCCAAAGTAAGCGAAAACCAACAACCTGCTGGGGGGGCACGGAGCAAAGAGCTGACGACAGGAAGATGTTCAGTTGTTTACGCGCATGAACTCCGAGTGCTCAAGCCACGCGACCCGACTCTGGGACCCTGCATCCCCCAAACAGCCTGTTCTCCTGCGTGAGGTCGTTGGGACTGCGAATGTATGATTGCACTGTGTACATGATGACGATGGCACCAATGCACCTCAGCTCCGAGGTGGAGTAAGTTGCCTTTGCCCTCCCACGGAGGGGAACATCACGGAAGACTGCACGCCTCCAACGTCAGAGTGTTTGGCCTTTGAAGATTTGTCGGATCCACTTGAGGACTGCTTGAGGCCTGGGATGTGCAGCATCTTCACTACTCGCGAGATCTCGCGAGTTGGCGGCCGTCGGCATGCATTCGAGTGCATGCTTCACGTCTCATTTGGCACACCGGGGCCTTACATAATACGAGACCCAACTGCAACATAGAACCCAGACCCTGCATAGCAGTATCCTTTAATTATTAGAAGGATGCCGAAAGAAGGTACCCCGAATCTTCAGAAACCACCGACAAATCAAGAAAAATAAATGAATAAAAACAATCGAGGCACTGGATGACCAAGAGGACGCACAAGGACCAGAATAAAGTACCCACACTGGCACGGAGGCACTTCCTTGGAGTCTCTAGGCAAGGATAGCAACAGGACTTGCGAACATGTGTGGTTCATGTGGGGTAGACTCGTAGGGACCTAACAGTGCATGAGCCTTCCGTACCTTGCACTAGGGTCCCGTGCCTGCTAAGAGCGCTGAACACTTATGTGACAATCGAAACAAATCCCGGAACAACTGCTTGATTTCCCAAGGGCACTGATGCGCTGTACTGTGCTTCGGCCCCTCCGCAACTTGAGCATTTCGAAGCCTACGATCTGCAGCCCGGCGGCATGATCATGTTCAGCGAGTCAAGCACACTCGACACCTGCGAAATCCGCGTGGCTGTTGAACCCTAAGTGTCTGTGAAGCTCCTCCATCTCCTCCACCGATGCACAGAGTGTACGCGGGCGGTTGTGTGCGTGTGGGCAACAAAAGCGGACCTGCCAGCACCTCCCAGCAGCAAAGTTCCGAGAGCCCCTTTGAAACCTGGCACCTCTGTGCGGAATGCGCGAAAGCGACTTACAGTAGCTGTGATGCCGCTATCTGAGATGTAGCATTACGCATGGCTCTCTTCGGGGCAATGTCGAGTGGCTCTTCTACCCGCCAAGAAACCCCTTGACCCTATGGGTCTGGCCTTTAGAATTCGGATGCTCCGAGTCAGCTTCGTGAGGCGCAGCAACCGAAGGACCTGAGAAGGCATCACAGGCTGCGAAACCGGAGTCGCACCATAGGCTTGGTCCTTGCCGAGGCAGGGACACTCGTGTTGAACATCCCGGAGGTGATAAGGTCAAAAACACCTTGGAGCAAAGAATTCAGAGGTGCTGTCTCACATGACTCATATAACTTATAACACTACATCAAACGGTGTCATCAGCTACACCTTGAAGTCCACCGTCATTGGTCATCGAGGTGCGGTCTGGGAAGCCAACTTGAACCTGAAACCCGAAATTCAGACCCACTATCAGAAACTGCAAACCTGCAGCGCAAGCACTCGACAGAACCACGACAAGGTCCAGCCAGTTGAACCAATCGCAGAAGAAAGTCTTCCCTCACGGGCGACAAAGCGCGAGAAGATGTGGGCCGCAGGTGGGGCACTGCATAGATCTTGAAACGCCAACGGCTTTCACTTAGGATTCAGCGGTGTGTGGCCAGCTGGGCATCATGCGAAAGTGACATGTGTCCGAAGATACGCTGATCCATGTCCACCTACAAGTACGCGAAGGCTCTGGGGCCGGCACAGAAAAGACATGCTCTGATCAGGACATCGGCCAAGAAGAGGGACCTCGTCATGGCATGAGGTGCTCTTTCGAACCGGGGCTTGTTGACGATGTATGCACTCAGGCTTGAAGATCCTGATTCGGTCCGAGAGGTCTTGGTGACACGCTACCCGGTGCAGCATCACCCCTGCAAGTCAAGCCAGAGGCGCGTGAAGGTCACCTGCAGCACATCGAATACAGTTGAGATCCCAGGCCATAGTTCATCTGCTGTGGCGCTGTAGCCTGCGAATGACAAACAGGACCGAATTTCGTCTGGCGAGAAGCTCTGACTTGCATCGCTCCGCCTTCACTGATTACCAGAGATCTTAGTCAGCAAGGGTGGTGCCAAGATGGAGCGATGGAGTGGAAGGCACACCGGGCCCTGGAGTGCCATGCGTGATGGTTTCAACATGCTACACATCCACACCCACTGAGGGCCCAGACCACTCCTATCTGCAGTCAAGGTGCTTTTCGGTGCTGCTCGGAATATCGGAATATCGAAAGACAGGAATCCCGACAGCTACCCCAATCGGAACAAGAGCTCATACATCAACGAATTTCATTGGTCCGCCAAATGTCGTGCATGACTCGAACATCTCTAAGAAGACCGGACCCCTTGCTATGTCACGCCTCATCATCTAGTCAAATGAGTTTTAGGCTTTGGAAGTCGCGGGCGCGCAGAGGTCGATCAAGCAGCCCCTAAACTTTCAAAGGAGCAATCAATACATCCGAAACCCAAGAATGAAATTGCGCAAGGTTCACCACCCCTTGTGCAAACAGAGGCCCAACAAGGCTGCAGCAAGTGACCGGGAAAGCTGATCAAGTGGGCAAGCTGAAAACCTTCGTACCTCAGCAGTCCGGGATCTTTATCTTGAGCGTGCAAACCTCTTTAAAAACAACTGGCTGCGAATTTCGACTTTAATGATACACCTGCCAAACTCAATGATACGCAGAAGGAGGTGAGTCGGTTCTCCTAGCTTCCTGCTGGAAGTCTACGAAGCCTGGTCTCCAACAGAGTCGTGGTTGGGGGCAAGCACAGGTGCTCCAAAAAATCTTATGGCCTGAAGCCGGAAAGAGGGCCGCAACAGCTGGAAAATTTCTAGATCAAACCCTTAGTTTGTCCTAATGCCCCGTTGCAGCCAGGCTACTGGAACTGAAGACCAATCACCAACGCATTCACGAAAATGAGAAGCGTGACAGCAAGCCTTGCTAGGTGGTGTGATGCAGGAGAAGTTCGCAAGTTGGTCTGATCCAAGATTAACATGAAGATACACAGGAATAAGCTCCAAGTCAGCCAGCCTGCAAAATCCCAGAAACTCGAAAATGCCGCTGAACCGAACATTATGGAGAGAGGCATCCTTGAAACAAAAGGCTCCAAGCAGTCTGGGGATGGACTGGAAGAGCTTAACAGATTTGCAGGACCGGCCCAGACACTCGCTGCAAGATCAGCTTGACTGCTACATGTCCCGGCATGGCATGTCCACATCCGGAGCTCTTCCAATTGCATCGGTATAGGTTCGCGCAGCCCCACCAGTGGAAGCAGCGACAGCAAACCCCAAGCAAGCCGAACTTCTCAGGTCATAATGTTTGCTCGGAGGCACGGTGCGCTGACATCGAATTGTATCAAACATCATATGTAAGGGCAGTGGAGGATGTATCACTGCCGCGAGGGGCTGTGAGCCATTGCATGGCCGGGTGGCTCGTACTCCGGGGAAGCAAAGATTCGTCGCAGACGGCCCAAGCACGAGTGGTCCACCTCTTGATCGGTCGCAAAGCCAAGCTCAGTATTCACACTGCCTTCACAAGTGCGAGTCCCCTACAGACTGCTGTTGCTGCTGGCCGCCGATGCTGCTACGTGTCCCCAAACCCTTTTGTGGAAGTGAACAACAACTCATGCTTCCAGCTCTCTGCTCTGGTAATCCGGGGTGCTCCCAGAAATAGAAACCTCTCACGCCCAAGACATCCCTAAGACTCTCGGCGCTCAGAGCATCCTCCTTTGGCTCGTAGTGCGTCCCCTCCATCATCGAGCCGAGCTCCATCTGCAACTCCTCTTTCTTCCAACATGCTCGGGCACTGCTTTTGACCGTTGACCGTTCTTCCCGCAGCTTAGGGTACACATGTAGGTTCTGCAGAATCAGCTGTCGTGCTTGGACTGCGAGGTCTGACGCTGACACCGGTGCTTGCTGGAGACTGGGAACTTTAGCGGCAGCTTACACTGAAGGGGCAAACGGACCAGTAGCGCACGGGTACCCAGCATAAGTTCAAGTACCAGCGACAACAACACCAACATGATCATCAATGTTGGCGACATCGTGAATGCCGGCGACATGATCAAAGAAGAAGAAAAGGCGGGTAGAAGCTCGCCGCAATCAGAAAAGGCACAATCAGGCAGCCTCACAATCTGTGAGCCAACATCAACCCAGATGGTGCTCAGGTTACCTGTTTGCCGACTGGCCGTTCCACTGTTCTGTCGCAGTCTGTCGGTCACCGCCAGCACATGCTGATGCAAGACTTGCAATGACTACAAGAAGAAAACATAGCAGCTTGGCATTCCGGCAGGAGGCATCGGTGCTTTAGCGCTTAAGATTGGGAAACACATAATACAGTACAGGATTACAGATTAGGTACTGCCTTAAGCGTCGCTGAGCACCGACACCCTCAAATTCCTTGACTCCACAACCGTATTATCATAGTGCAGCCGACATCGAGCCGACGACAAAACATACAGCCCTCGAGTCTGTATACGACACCCATATATCTTCCTACACCAGAGCCTTATAACCCTCCTGTTTCCACTTTGTAGCTACGGCCAAAGGCCGTTCTTCCGCTCCTCCGCTGCCTGGTTCAGCGCCTTCTCATCCGGCTCCACCCGGCTTTCGCGGGAGCTCGCCTGGACCTGACAGCTCATCGGCCATGTGACACTGTGACACTGGCTCTCGTACTTGTCGTCATCATCTTGGCGGTACATGTATAATAACGAGAGTGTTGGGGGACAATCGTGAACTGATCCTCGAAATACCACTAGTCACTGGCCACACAAAGACAACTTGGGACCATCCCTGTGTTCTTGGATGCAACAGTCGAGTCGGGTCTCCTCCACCTCCTCGCCGGACAGGGGCGCCAAACAGCTCGAAACTGAGATGTTCTTCCCCTCAGCCGATGAAAGTGTCGGTTGTGCATCCTTCGCCCGGTAATGCTGCATGATTACGAGACTACTTTCCTGATGCCTTGCATGGGCCACTTTGATCACGGTTTGCTACGTTGCCTGGTACTGTGAACGCAAGATCGACTTTGCGCAAAGTCGCAATATGCGGCCGTTGCGACGATCGCGGCGACATTCGCGGGGTCGAGGGTTTTGGCGACATGTCGGGCACCGGAACCTCTGCTGCTGCACGAGGAGCATAAACATGGCCTGAACCCTGTTGTGGGAAGCAGCTGAGAGCCTGCTTTCAATTTTCGGGATCTGCCGACATCAACTGTTACAAGCAGCCACACCGCAAACAAGTATATATATATAATTGCCCGCTGAAGGCAGGTCCGAAGCTCAGGCAGTCTTCTCCCGAAAACCTGACCAAACCAGAAGCGAAACCCAGGACCATCATGACCTATCACGCTCAGATGCTCTGGGGGAGAGGTGGCCCTTTGCGGCCTCCGGCAAAACCTGCTTTCAGATGGCGGGGTCGCTGCAAATGAGAACTCGGGAGTTCGAGAAATGATATGACAGAACTCCCAAGAACGGTGAAAACCAAGTGCCCCAAAGTTCGGGCCTCGACTCCCATCTTCTCCAACTCGAAGCACAGAACCCCACAGAAACCCTTCGACCCAGGTCGACCCTGAGCCCCTGAGCCTCGTCGTCTTCTGGCTGGCGACTCTGTCGCTGCTGGCAGAAGAGAAGCTCCTGCGCTTCACAGGCTCAGAAGAGGCCCTGACTGAGGTATCGATGAATCTTGCCGGCATGCGAGGAAGTACGTGACTCCATGACTTTCATGCGAGGTCAATGCAGTTCTTCTAGGCCGTCTTTTCCAGTTGGGGACCCGGGGCCTCGCTTTCAAGCCATTGGAACAGCACTAATTCCACCAAGCAATAGTAGGGATCCGAGGTCGGAACTATTCGCTTGGGGAGATGGGAAAAAGGCATCGAAGCTATCCGGAGCTTGCCACGCCTGTTTCAGCTCGGCGAGCTCGTGCAGATGCCTGGACACGAGCTTTTCCATCAAGTGCCTGTGCCGCGCGGCATGGGACGCTCCGGCATCCTAATATAGGGGCCTTAATGATTAGAATAAGGCTTTGGGGCCCTTTATACTATCCCAAGATAGTATTGAATTGGTAATTATTGAGGCCCCTATATTGGCCTTCTGCCATCTTGGCTTAGGGATGCTTAGGGCCCCATGCTCGTGATGGGATACGAAACTCAGAGATTGTGTCACATGCAATGGTATGCAGGCATCATCAGCGTGTCCACCATGGCCTATGGCTAAATTTCCCGGACTGTCTCTGGCCATCGTGTGTTTCTGGAGTAGACGGGCCTGAACTCGTCGGAGCAATCATCTTCATCGCCTCTCCTCGCAGACTCGCAGCCCAAAGGATCTGTCAAACCAAGTTGCGAAGTTAATGAATCGGAGAGTGCATTCCTGCGACAGCAGACAGAGCTATAGTCTCTAGCTCAGCGCAGACAGAGAACCTGTCCGACCAATCGCTGCGGTCAAGCAGCTCGACAGCTTGCAGCTGCGTAACAGGGTCGGGCTGTACCTCTCCACCCTGCAAGGCGCTGCGCCATGTTGGTGGGACCAAGCCGAGGCACAAAACAGGCTAGCGCTGAGGTCTGAACAGTCGACCGACAGAGCAAGCAGGCGGCGGCCATCGGCGAGGGAAATTTATGAGCTAAGGAGACTCTGAATGAAAGGATTCATAAATCATGTTGAACAGCTGCTCAGGCGTGTTGATGCCTTCGAATGCACCGGTAAGGGTAGGGTGCTGTTCGCCTGCTTCCTCTCTGAGCTGGACGAGCGAGTGCAACAAGCTCCGTCGGAAATTTTCCGACAAGGAAAAGATCTACGTGGAATCTGCAAGGAGTCGTTTCCTGCGCAAGGTGTTCGGTATGGACCAGGGTCACGGGACATTTGCACGCTAAACGTAGGTTATGCATCCACAAGGCAACAAGCGTGGGACCCAGTGCTGGGGCTTGCTCGGTATGCGGCTTCCAACTTCAGGTAACAGTTAGCATGGGGCTCGTGGCCGATCCGTCTTCGAGTCACCTGTCTTTTTCTCGATCTTGGCACCCGGCAGGGTATGTACACGGGGATGCCACGCTCGAGACTCAAGTCTCTACCTGCCGCTGAGGCCGGCAGACAAAACTGCTCAAAACTCCTACTGCCTACATCATCTCACTCCTGCACGGATACCGGAACTAGCCCCAAAGCCACTTGCTGCCCCCATGAAGTTTTAAAGTTAGCGAAACATGCACATCCCCTTGCAACCGAACCCCAGGATCCATGCTGAACCCAGAATTTCGGGTCCTCTACAGAAGAGTTGCGTCACAGCTCCTCCTCTTCGCCCTCGTCCTCATCCTCCAGCAGGTCGTTCATGACCTGATCAACTGCAAAGGAACGGACGCTAACACCCCGAGCTCTGCAGCTTTCAGGCTTTGGGGCCACTGCGCAGCACATGTCTCATACTTCCAGCCGCAAAGCAGCAGCAGAAGCAACACCACCACTGCTGTTGCTGCCGCTGCTGTTGCCCCTGCTCCTTGTGAAACTGTACCGACTACTGCGAAGGCGACTACGACTACAACGACCACTACGATCTTTTTGGTTCCCGCATGGCAGCTTCCAGTAGCAGTAGTAGTAGTGGTAGTAGTAGTAGTAGTAGTCGTCGTCGTAGTCGTCGTCGTGGTGGTGGTGGTG